TGTGATAAGTGGGACGCTCAGAAACACACGCTGCTGTTTTCATCTCTGTTCCTTGTATTGCTGTATGATTCTCCACTGAAATTGTTTATTGTTTATGAGGTACAAAGACGAGAATGTGTTTGTGTGCATGTGATTTATGGCTCAGAAGTGGCATTATTCTGGTTCTTCCCTGTTTAACCTCCATTCTGGGCTGACCAGCCTTATTTCAGTCTGTGTGTGTGTGCGTGCGTGCGTGCGTGTGTGTGCGTGTGCGTGTGTGTGTGTGTGGCTGTAAATTTCAGTTGTTGACAGATCCCATCACCAGCACTGGAGATCTCACACACACTGATTTCTCCTCTCCTGCTCTTGGCTTACATTTGACACTTCATTTCATCATCTCTGTGTGTGTGTGTGTGTGTGTGTGTGTGTGTAGTTTGGAGGAGGTCAGTGAAGTGTTGCACACATCAGGTTTTTCCTGTGTTAAATCTGTCGGACAGCTGGAAGGACGGACCTTCTGTAAGGACCCGCACTGCCACGAGTGTGTGTGTGTGTGTGAGAGAGAGATGGGTTGCGTTGTCTGTGACGGTGTGTGTTGTGTGTGTTTGTAGGATAAGTCGTGCTGTGTGGGCCCCTGGGCTCTGTGGCCCCTGCTGGCCGACGGCGGAGACGTTCTTATGAGCGGCTGTTTCTCTGCACAGACGGTCGCACACGTGTCTGCAGTGGCTGCGGCTGCGTCTGATCTCTGTGTGTGTGTGTGTGTGTGTGTGTGTGTGTGTAGTTTGGAGGAGGTCAGTGAAGTGTTACACACATCAGGTTTTTCCTGTGTTAAATCTGTCGGGCAGCTGGAAGGACAGACCTTCTGTAAGGACCTGCACTGCCAAGACCTGCTGGTGTTTCCCAGCAGTGTGAAGAACGATCTGACCAACAGCAGATTACTGAGTGACAGCAGACTCATCATACAGGTGTGTGTGTGTGAGTGTGTGTGTGTGCGTGTGTGTGTGCGTAACACCATGGTCATTTAACCAGCTTTTGGTACCTTTGGCAGTGTGGGCAGGTGCCAAGTCCTGCTGGAAAATGAAATCAGCATCTCCATAAAGCTTGTCAGCAGGAGGAAGCATGAAGTGCTCTAAAATTTCCTGGTAGATGGCTGCGTTGACTGTGGACTTCAGAAAACACAGTGGACCAACACCAGCAGATGACATGGCAGCCCAAATCATTACTGACTGTGGAAACTTCACACTGGACTTCAAGCAACATGGTTTCTGTGCCTCTCCAGTCTTCCTCCAGACTCTGGGACCTTGATTTCCAAATGAAATGCAAAATGTTTTCATCTGAAAAGAGGACTTTGGACCACTGAGCATCAGTCAAGTTTCAAGTCAAGTCAAGTCAAGTTTATTTGTACAGCGCTTTTCACGATACAAATCATTGCAAAGCAACTTTACAGCAAATTAAGTTTCTACAATATTTAGTGGTAGCTTATCAGTGGTGACTGTCAATTAATGTACATATGGCAGAACTGTACGGAAAAATCAATTTAAGACGTAATAAAAAAGACGATGAACACTATTAACAGCAATTATAAAATAATTAAATGTGCAAAATAGCAAAATGTGGTAGTTCTGTATGTAGTTTCAGGGTTGGCATCATCTGAGGTCCTCTGAGGGGTTGGCATCATCTCTTCTCAGGTGTTCTGGATCCAGACTGAAGCTTGTGTAAATCCTAGTTTACCACGGGATGTCAATCCCGTGGCAAAAACAGAGAAACAAATAGGGACATAATTAGCGTAATTAGCGTACCAACAAAGCAAAATTGATTTGTTTAACCCAAACTAAAGAATAATAATGTGCATTTGATCCATTTGATCACTGCAGTACAAGATTATGAGATACATTATTTGAATGCTTGGCCAAAGAGATGTGTCTTTAATCTAGATTTAAACAGAGAGAGTGTGTCTGAACCCCGAACATTATCAGGAAGGCTATTCCAAAGTTTGGGAGCCAAATGCGAAAAAGCTCTACCTCCTTTAGTGGACTTTGCTATCCTAGGTACTACCAAAAGTCCAGAGTTTTGCGACCTTAGGGAGCGTGATGGATTGTAGCGTGGTAGAAGACTAGTAAGGTACGCAGGAGCTAACCCATTAAGGGCCTTATAGGCAAGTAATAATATTTTGTAACTGATACGGAACTTAATAGGTAGCCAGTGCAGAGACTGTAAAATTGGGGTAATATGATCATATTTTCTTGACCTGGTAAGGACTCTAGCCGCTGCATTTTGGACCACCTGTAGCTTGTTTATTGAAGATGCAGGACAACCACCTAGCAGTGCATTACAATAGTCCAGTCTAGAGGTCATGAATGCATGAACTAGCTTTTCTGCATCAGAAACAGGTAACATATTTCGTAACTTGGCAATGTTTCTAAGATGGAAGAATGCTGTTTTTGTAACATGGGAAATAGGATTTTCAAAAGACAAGTTGCTATCTAATATAACACCCAGATTTTTGACTGTAGAGGAAGTAACAGTACATCCGTCTAGTTGCAAATTGTAATCCACGAGATTCGGTGTACTGTCTTTTGGTCCAATAAGTAATATCTCTGTCTTATCCGAATTTAATAGGAGAAAATTATTGGTCATCCAATCTTTTACATTTTTAACACACTCTGTTAGCTTAGATAATTTAGAAGTTTCATCTGGTCTTGTTGAGATATATAGTTGAGTATCATCAGCATAACAGTGGAAACTAATCCCGTATTTTCTAATAATATTACCAAGGGGCAACATGTATATCGAAAATAGCAGAGGACCTAGGACAGATCCTTGTGGCACTCCATATTTTACTGGTGATAATCGAGATGACTCCCCATTTAAATGAACAAAATGGTAGCGATCGGACAGGTAGGATCTAAACCATCTTAAAGCCTGCCCTTGAATACCTGTATAGTTTTGTAATCGATCTATGAGTATGTCATGATCTATAGTGTCGAACGCAGCACTAAGATCAAGTAAAACTAGCAATGAGATACAGCCTTGGTCTGACGCAAGAAGCAAGTCATTTGTAATTTTAACAAGTGCAGTTTCTGTGCTATGGTGGGGCCTGAAACCTGACTGAAATTCTTCATAGAGATAATTTTTTTGCAGGAAGGAGCACAATTGAGCAGACACAACATTTTCTAAAATTTTAGACATAAAAGGAAGATTTGAGATGGGTCTGTAATTTGCCAGTTCACTAGGATCTAGTTGTGGTTTCTTAATAAGAGGCTTAATAACCGCCAGCTTGAATGGTTTTGGGACGTGACCTAAAGACAACGACGAGTTAATAATATTGAGAAGCGGTTCTTCTGCTACAGGTAACAACTCTTTCAGTAATTTAGTGGGTACAGGATCTAACAGACATGTTGTTGGTTTAGATGCAGTGATAAGTTTATTTAGCTCTTCCTGTCCTATAATTGTAAAGCACTGCAGTTTATCTTTTGGTGCGATGAATGAAGCTGAAGTATTATACGCTGTAGAATCTACATTTGTTATTGTATTTCTGATGTTATCTATTTTATCAGTGAAGAAATTCATAAAGTCATTACTATTAAACTGTGAGGGAATATGTAGATCGGGTGGCGTCTGGTTATTTGTTAATCTAGCCACTGTGCTAAATAAAAACCTTGGATTGTTTTGGTTATTTTCTATGAGTTTGTGGATATGCTCGGCCCTGGCAGCTTTTAGAGCCTGTCTATAGCTGGACATACTGTTTTTCCACGCAATTCTAAAAACTTCCAAGTTAGTTTTTCTCCATTTGCGCTCAAGACTACGAGTTTTTTTCTTGAGAGAATGGGTATTACTGTTGTACCATGGCGCAGTACGTTTTTCTCTAACCTTTTTCAATTTGATGGGGGCAACAGCTTCTAATGTATTAGAGAAGATAGTGCCCATGTTGCTAGTCATTTCGTCTAGTTCATGTGTACTTATGGGTACACAGAGCAGTTGAGATAAATCAGGCAGGTTATTCATAATAATAGGAGAGAAACCGCTGGGATGCTCAGCGAGTTAAAACCAATGGATCTGATTGATTATTTGGGTTTCCACACAACACTCAGCTAACTGATATGATGCAGATATATCTCTTATTACATGTTATGGCTCTTATGATAAATTGTTTGTGTTGTTCCTCATTTGTAAGCTGCTGTGGATAAGGGCATCTGCTAAATGAATAAATGTGAATATAATGTAAATTTTGTGCGTCCCTGTTTTGCTGTAATGTAAGCAGTGGCAGGTGCAGGGCTTTGATTCCCAGGGAATGCAGGAACTGATAAAAATGTATATATGGAATGCAGTTTAAGTTGCTTTACATAAACGTTTCTGCTGAATGCATGAATGTAAATGCACAAATGAGCTCCTCCAGGACGATGATAGAGAGACACCGGTGAAGGTTTGACTCAAACATGTGTGTGACCTTGGTATATTTCTGTGGTAAAAATGCTAATACACGTCTCTTGGGGTCTGAATCAGAAGAAATAACTCCCTTTGGGGACGTTCACTAAGACAAAATGGTTCATGACTAAATTATGTCTTTCTAACAAAACCATTTTTTTTATTGTGATTACTGCGATATTTTGAGTTCATCTACATCATATCAGTATATATATTTCAGGGTTATTATAGTTAACTAAAACTGAAGCTAAAATCAAAACCACAAAAAGAATTTTTTTTTTGCTTGAAATCAATGCTAATTTAAAGAGAAAAAACAAATGAAAAAATGAAAATTTAAACACATAAAAGTTAAATGCTAATTTAGCATACAAAACGTCAATTTAGGCAGCACAATATTTATAGTATACAGTAGGAAAGATGGATAAATATTCCTTATATGAAATAAAAACATGAAATACATGCTCATAATAACAGGGGGTGGGATGCTGGTTAGTCCTTGGTTAGAAAATAGAGGTCAGAGAAATTCATTTTGTTAGAAGACAAAGTAAATGTGTGTTTTTCAGATGTGAAGCTGCTTCCAGACTCTCTCGAGTCTCTGGACGTCTCTGACGCGCGTCTGCAGAAGATCAGTGTGGTGTTTCTGATGCCAGCGTGTTCCCTGTCCGCCGTCAGCAACCCTGTAGATTACATAATGCAGGAGAACAGAGGTACACACACACACACACACACACTCATCATTCTGAACATTCACTCTGAGCATCAGTCACATGTGATTGTTCTGGACCGGTTTCAGACCCGCGGCTCATGCTGGATCTGTCCCAGGGTTCAGTCTCTCCAGAGAAACTCCAGACGCTCATGTGCCAGCAGAGGAAAGTCCTGCAGCGCGCCGTCCAGTGTGAGTGTGTGTGTGTGTTTCACTTCATCTTACCTAATGAGTTCAGACACAATTAAATGATGATCTAAAATCGTAAATCTGGATGAGCTACAAAATATTACACCAAATAACTATTCTACCTTAAAGGGGTCATACGATGTTGCTAAAAAGAACATTATTTTGTGTATTTGGTGTAATGAAATGTGTTTATGCGGTTTAAGGTTAAAAAAACACATTATTTTCCACATACTGTACATTATTGTTTCTCCCCTATGCCCCGCCTTTCTGAAACGCGTCGATTTTTACAAAGCTCATCGGTCTGAAAAAGCGAGGTGTGCTCTGATTGGCCAGCTATCCAATGCGTTGTGATTGGC